GCAGGCTCTGCTTCACAGCCTCGAGACTTGATCTGGGGAGGAATAGACTTTAGAGTGCAGCGAGAAGATCCAATGTGCGCTCTCGGGGCTTTTAAACAGTAGATTGCTCCCTCCCCAGTCTCTTTTTTTTGTCTGTCAGTACAGAACAGCCTAGAACAAAGCTCGAAATTAACTATTTAGACTTTTAATACAGGGGAGGAGGAGGTGTGATTTTTATGATCCCCCACAATCACTACTACTGCTCCCATTTTATCACAAGTATGACAGTTGCAAGAACAGCATAGGCTCTTCAACATGAAAACAAACAACCTCAATTTTAAATTAGGCTCCTCCTAACTTTTCCTAAATCAGATACTATCCTTGGCGTTTCAGAAATGAGGTCTCTGGTTTTTGCTGTCTTTTGTACCGCACTCTGAAGATACATGGTGACCAATTACTATAAAAGCGCTAACTTTTTGGGTGGTAGTAATGAATTTGCCTCTATGCCTTTAAAGGATGCTACCTGATACAGACCATAATCTTTGTAATAATAAATTGGACAGTTATTGCTCCATCCCCTTGTTCCATAGTCCTACAAAATTTGGTGAGCAAATTGGACACATGTTGATAATGAAGAATAAAACTTTGTGGCTGTATTAAAGGTTTCTGTGTACACACAGCTTCCCCCAGTTCTGATGCCCCATTCTAACATTTAAATTGGCATTTAAAATAAAACTCCTGAAGTATAGACTGACACAAAAGCCATGAGTTTTTAGGAGTTTTTCAATCGGGAATCACAAGTTATTACATCCCCTTGCAGACTAGACAGTTCACTGCAGTTGTCTGCACTCTGGATTCCCCAGCTCCACCCAAGTGGCTGAGCACATGTTATTTATCATATAGGTACATATCGTTGTGTCTCTTTTGATCTGAGGCTACAGTGTCTGAAATGCAGCTAACAGCCAATATACATTGTGTTTATTATCACTACAGTGCTAAAGCAATTTTCTTACTAAACAGAGAAATTGCTTCTCTGTGTGTGTATGTCTGTATAATAGAGAGAGGACTCATCACAGAATCATAGTGACTTCTTCGGTAAGGTTGTACTGAGATTTACACTTAAAACAGGTCTAAATCCTCTCTCATATAATTTAATGATTGAGTTCAGTCTCCGGAATTGACACAATAGCTCTCCATTGCTGCATTTTCTGTGTAATAAGTTTTAGTAAGATAGTTACTAGTTTTTGTAGCAGCGAGGTTTGAAAAAGGTCTCTTTTTGAAACTTTGCCATTTCCTTGGTATTTTTTTTTGAGAGGGTGGGGGTCCATTAGTTAAGGACCTTCCCTGTGAACTCCACACTTTTAACATGTGCATATTCAGATGAGAGTGCGTTTAGGCCACAGTGGAAAAACTAGTTAACACACAAAGGAATTATTCCACTCATTCAAGAAAACCTCAGATACATAAGATCAACTGCTGTTCTTTGCTTATGCTTGGAGAGACACCTGTTTTTATAATGGAATTGCAAGCTCTTGGTCTCACAATTTGGATTGCAATTTTCTCTCTTGCTCTAATCCCTACTAGGGCTTGTCTAGATTGCAGGGTGCTCCTTTAAACACAGCTCCGGGTGGCTTTTTGGCCACACTGGCCAGTGAGCGCACAGTGTAACTGCCACCAGGCAGATTTGAACTTGGGACCTTTGGAGCGGAGTATAGGAGCCACTGCCCTCTGAGCTAAAAGCCAGCTTGCTTCCAGCCTGTGCTGTAGAGATCTCTTGATCTTAATTGTTGCTGTGGCCTAGGTATCGCTTGCATTGCTCAGTAACCACACTAGGGCTATGTCTACACTGGCGGGTTCTTGCGCCATAAATATGCAAATGAGGCTAAGCGTGGAATATTGCTGAGCCTCATTTGCATATCTGAGCAACCATTTTTGCGGAAGAGTCTCTTGTGCCAGAAGTAGCGTCTACGCTGCCCCTTCTTGTGCAAGAAAAACCCTCTTGCGCAATGCCAATATTCCTGAAAATAATCAGCGTAGCGGCATTGCGCAAGCGGGTTTTTCTTGCATGAGAAGGGACAGTGTAGACGCTCCTTCTGGTGCAAGAGCCTCTTCTGCAAAAATGGCGGTTCATTAGATATGCAAATGAGGCTCAGCGATATTCCACGCTTAGCCTCATTTGCATATTTCTGGCGCAAGAACCCACCAGTCTAGACATAGCCTAGGTGTGTGGGTTAAACATCACTCCTGTTAATGCATCCCAGCATCCTGTTTTCTTTTTTTTGCAATAGTGTCACATGAATATGTGGGAGGGGAAGGAAGGGTTAACTATAGATATATGGGGAACTAGTAAAGGGGCATGGATAATGTGAGAGAGTGGCACAAAAGTGGTCACTGAAGCAAAGTTTGAGAGCAGGAGTGAACAGAGGAGCTCCTCGTTGTCTCTCTGGCCACTGGTCTCTCGACCTGCTGTAAAGCACAGTTTCCTGCATTTTGTGGGCAGTGTGGTCTCCCTAGTCACATGGGCCTGCCACCTGTATGCCATACAGAAAACTGTTTGTCCCCTTTTTTTGTACATTTGCTATAATGACTGTTTGTTTTGATCCATAAAAGGAAATGACCATGTAAGTAAACGGGAAAGATAATTTTCTATTTGGAGTGTGAGAGAGAACCAGTCAGTCGGTTGGGACCAAGGAAGTGGGTGAGGCTGGGAAGTAGAGGGCAAGGGGATCAGGCACTCAGTCAAGAACTCTGCTGATTGATATCTGTTTTGTATGATGCATTTCATGAGTGTGTGATTTGGCTCTGCTGGACTTAGCGGAAATGGCAAGGAGACATTGCATATTCCTTATTCTGTTCACTGTGTTCTCTGCTGGAATTTGGACACACATGTTTTTGATTAGCCAAAGAGTTAAAGTTTTAGGCATGATGGATAAAATTGTCAACAGCACTAAAGTAACTTACACTCAAAGGTGAGATTCACTTCAGTGCTAACTCTGGTCCTCAGACACAGCTGATACAGATTGATTTTTCATTTTGCTACCACTGGGAGTATTTATAACAGAGGCATCTCCTGCCTTGTATTATATCCTCCCACCCCCATTCTTTTTGGCTTAAACAGGTATATTGCTCCTATTTTTTTTCTGATACCATCTGAGTTAGCATTTTATCCTGTTTCTACTTTTTTCAATATATTATTCTTTAACTAGTCTTCCAAATTGCTGATGGCCCTTCAGAAAAGATAATAGCTCTTGGGTGATGTCTTTATACAGAACATGGTATCAACAGTAATGGTTAAGTGGGACTCTGCACAGTAAATAGTCAGAAATACATTCTGGTAACTAAGATAAATTATGGTTAGAACATGTAATTTAACTTATTGAGAAAATATAGGTGTACTGAGAATCCTTTTCTGCAGTTATTGACTAAGTTTGTTTTTATTAAAACACTTGTGCAATATTGAATGTTTGGCAAGAATTTTTGTAAAATGTCTACAGGCATGTTCAGACTTAACATAATACTGATTCTCTCTTGTTCACAAGATTCAACGGTATGTACAATCACCTGAATATACATGCATAGAAGTGGTGAATAGTCACAAATGGCTAGATTGTTCCTTACTTTCTCACAGGGAGTAACAAGTTACTCCTTCACAAGTTGTGTGATCACACCTCACTCCTGTTTTTTCTTCTTGCCAAGAATAAAAGCTTAATAACTGGGCCTATAAGATGTGCGTCTTTATAGTCTTTTCCTGAAATTTTTTTTAAATGGCTGGATTCTCTCATATTGTGCACGCTAAGAAGTAGTTTACTCCTCAAGCAGTCCAATTTGAAGTTAATGGGACAACTTGCAGAATAAAGTACTCCTCAGTGTGTGTAAGGGTGTGTGTAAGGGTAAGATCCTGATTCAACATTGCATTTAACTTCAGTGGGACTTCAGCATGTAGTTAAGTACATGCAGATGCCTACTTCCTCACTCTGTTGTATTTGTTGCTAGTTTACCATTTAGCATAACTTATTAACAGTTTAGACTTACTTTCCAAGCACTGTAAGGGTAACATGGCAAGAGATGGAAGCTTCAATAGCTGGCTT